ATAGACAGACTTTACATTTTACCCTGTTGTGGCTTTATGGATTGAGACATTCTCAGACAAAAAGGGGAAAATATTAGACTCAAAGGACTTCTAATGAGAATTTCCTGTTTCCAGTTTGAGGCTTGACGAAGAAAAAGAAGAAATCCCTTCCAAACTCTTGGTCTGTTATTAATCTGTTGGGTTGGTTTTTTTAATTATATATTTAAAATTGTGGCTTAATAATTATTTGGCAAAATATAACAAAGACAAACTCAGTGTGAAAGATCAGGAGCTGAAGTATTGCTTTCTGTTGTCTTTCCTTTTTCTTCTTAAAAAGGTCTTTCAGGTCACCCCGGTTTTAAAGGGACCATTCCTACTCATGGCATGGGAAGAACAGTAATTATTTTTCACTAGTAATTATTAACTATTTTTCAGTATCAATTATTTTTCATCAGTTCCCCTTGCCTTTCTCTTAAAATTAAGAGTAGTTGTTAGTTTTGTATTTTTGATTTGAAACCCAGAGAAATCTGGTCTTTTTTTATATAGCAAATTACTTGGCATAGGAATTTTACTGCTCTGCAGCATATTTGTCCAACTTTTGTAACTGCTTCTGAAAAGGGGAGAAAATGGCTAACAAATGAGTAAGATTCGGCTTCTTAAAACCTTCAAGAAGAACAACTAGCTGTTGATGTTGTCGAACAGAAAGCTGCTGGTATCCTCTGTGAGTAAATGAGAGAACGGCTAAAAAAAATGGCAGCCTACTACTTCATTTACTAAGTCTTTAAGTGCAAATCTAGACATTTCTGGTTTTGTCATATTTAAGACTTCCATCAAGCCTTAAATCCAGTCACTTCCAAACATGCAGACAGTGTCTCTATTTTGAATAGTGAAATGTCATTCAATGGAAGCTGCTACTACTAATGAAAATCATAACTATTGAGGGACTGTTTTTACCAAAGGCAGTTTTAATTTTATGCTTAATGTTGTAAAGTGAAAATGTTACCTGTTTTAACTAAATTGTTAGAAAATAAAGTATGTTCATCTCAATCATGCATTAATGGTAATATAGATTTCCCTTATTCTGAGTGACAAGTTTTCCTAAGCTCTTTTTCATCTATTTTCAAACATAGCCAATGTACTGACAGCTTCTGGAAGATTAGTATTTCTCAATGAAGTGGTGCAGTGTAGGTAAATTTCAGGGTTAACTCTCTGGCAAGAATCAATAAAAGAATGCAGAAATAGTGTGATTACAGAAGCTGAAAAGCTGACCGAGTGCTTTGAATAACTAATTCTTTGCTTGACACTGGAAATCTTTCTTGTTGCACATTACAAAGAGTGATTTTTGTTTGTTTTTAATTCTAAGGCCATAGGTTTGTATGAATAATTTCATAAATTTTCCCGTACACGAAAAACTGTTCTACATCCAATTTCTAGTGATGCATATGCAGTGTAACACCAACCATATATATATATATATATAAAAAGCCTTCCTTATTTATGCTTTATTTTATTTTAGAAGATGACAGAGAACACAAAGAAGAAATTGGTACTTGCATTTCTACTTTCAAAATGCTTCAAAGAAGCATAAAGCAAAGGCTTTGGAATACAGTTTTCTTTATTTTCATTGTAAACCATATTCACAGAGTAGTCTCTTTTTTTTTTTCCCCTTAGTCTAGTAATCACTTTGTTTACTATGGCAAAGTAAGTATTTTCATACTTTGATCTATTCCTTTTCTTTTTGTGTTTTCCTGGACAGAAGTAGAAGAATGGCCAGTCAATAAGGAGAAATCATCATATTGAAAAGAACAACATGATTTAATTGTCGTCAATTCATGGGCATTAAAATTCAGATACATTGTGAAATACAAGATAATGACAGAGAACATGAATTGATTCTAATGATAGAATATTGTCTCATGAACAGAAAATAGCACAGACTTTTATCCAGTTCTTAAGCTGCTTTTTAAAGTTTTTATCCAAGCACCTAGCTAGCTTAGTCGAAAATAAGAAAACATCCTGACATTTGACATTATAAAAGGAAATTGAGTCAGTAGCTGTAAAAATAAATATAATTCGTGTCTTTTTGTATATTTGTGCCCACTTCTCAGGTAATAATACACTTTTTATGGTTTTTATACCTGCTTACATCAGAACTAATTACTTTTTTCATACAAATGTATTTTCATCAAGCTATCCAATTAACTGTATCTGTTATAATAATACATAATGTTGCATACCAATACACAGATCTAAATCTAGGCTGATCCCAAATTAGACGATTGGGCTCTTCATAAGTAACACGACGAATGCAAATTCGCATAGTGCGACTCCATTACATGAACATATGATTCCTAGCAAGCAATATCTTCAATGCGAACTTACAGGCATAAGTGAACGATAAATTTGGCCGTCTGTGATCATATGCCAGCTCAGCGTCTCTCTGGAGACCTAATTCCTTGTTGCCCTGTGGTCTCTTTGTGCTGCCAAGCTGGGAGCTCAGGGGCTTTCCCCGGAGCTGAGGGATCACCTGGGTGGTGCAGAGCCTGCTCAGCCACCGGCCCGGGGTGTGGGTGATGCACAAAGCAGGGGCGGGTTGGGGGGACGCTACACCCGGGCTGTCACAGCGGCAGCCCGGAGATATGGACGCAGAAGGCGTAAGCTAGCGGCAAGCCTGAGATTGCTGTGATTTAGGACCTGACCAGCCATCTCCAGAGCGTTGCAAAGTTGGTGAAAGGCTGAATTCGCCTTTCCCGCAGTGCCTTTGGTCTAGCAGTGAGGGCACTTTAGCCAGCCCCACGAGTGGGTTGGATGTGTACATTTTTTATGCAGGCAAAATATAATCCCCAGTCCTGCAAAAAAGATGTGTCTGGGTGAAACCCTGTGAAGGGTTTCCCTGGAGAGGTAAAAAAAAAAAATTTCATGAGGGTCTCTTCACCTCTGTGCAATAGGAAAACCATGTAGCCTCCTCCAGATCTAGCAGATCTTTGGGGAGGATAGAGCCAGCTGCATAAAAGGTTTCCCTCCTTACAGCAACTCTGGATCTACCTGGGATAACAATTGGGATATTACCTATAGCTTTTCCCATCCCACAACCTCCCTGTCCAAGCTTCAGAAAAAACTATGAAATAGTCTGCCTCTTTTTCCAGGTTTCTGAAGGTTGGATGGGGGAATAACATGTATTCCTCTTGGTCATGGTCCAGTCTTGCATGCCCCATTCCTTATCCTGTACGGATATTTTCCATTTCTCTTTCCATTTCCATTTTTTCTCCAAAGGGTTCAGAAAAGGTTCTGAATGGCCTGAGAAAATGTGTGAAATGGACACTGATTTTAAAAATGGCTGTTCAGAAAAGATTACATGGGTTTAGGGGCTTGACCTGTAATAAGTCTCTATTTATAGCTAAGTGATAGAGTTTCAAGAAAATCCAATTCCTAGTGGATTAAAAAAAAGGGGGGTTTTGGCACTGAGATTGCTTCATCTGTATAGTAGGAGCAAATATCCACAGCGGATGCAAATATCCTCAGAAGGATGGAAATTTGCCTCTGAGCTTGATGGGAGTGAACTCCAATATAATACCTCTTACACTATGGTATCTTTCCACCACAATCCTACCATATATTGTTCCTGTTTTGTTCACAGAGTTTTAAAACAGGACCACAACCACTCCGGGAAAGAGATTTATTTACTCATGTCCATGGGAAAATAACTACATCAAACTGTTCATGAAAGCATACCACTTGTGTCCTACTTGGATAAATACCACTATATCTCATTCAGATACGGAAAAAATGGGAAGCTATAAAACTCTGCGTAATACAAATATTGGTCCTCTGAAATCTTCATAGTCAGCAAGTATAGAGTAGGAAAAAGAGTTCTCCATTTTTAAGTGGTAGAACCAATACTGGATAGAGAATGTCAAAACTGCCTAAGAGATTACTTAAGACCAAGATATTTTTAGCGGCCTCTTTGTTTTTTGGATATCCAGCTTGAGACACCATAAGTGTAATAAATTTTCAGAAAGCCTTGAGCACCCACTCTCTGAAAAACTGGTTGTGTTAAGGTATCTGAAGATGAGCACCAAGAATTGCTGCATCCAAAATAAGATTGCATCAGAAATCCAAATTCCCTCAAATTGGTATTTAGGGAGGACCTAGTGCTTTAGGCAGCTCTGAAAATCCTAGGCACCATGCACAGTGAGTGTTTATCTCTGACACTGGCAGATATAGGTAAACATCTTCCACCTAGACCACTGCAGATTTAGTGAAAAGAAGTATTTCAATACTTTTTTCTGTTAAATCTAAGGAGGATTAACTAAATAATTCAGGGCTAGGGATACTATTTTTTCATCAATAGCTTAAAAAACAGATGCAATTTTTAGATAAAAATGAGATGTAAGGAAATAAAGTGTTTTTTCTCTTCTAAATCTTAATAGCTGGTTTCAGATTTTATTTAATAATCTTGTTCTAAGACTTAATAATTTTAATTTTTTTTCTAATTTTTATTTCTTGTGATGTGTAAATAGGTAAGAAATATTAAATATCGTAATGTTCTTTCATTAAGACAATAACATTTCAAAGGCTAATGTAAAATCAAGCTGCTAAAGTTTACAATTTCTCTGTCCAGCAGTTCATTTATACAACTGCCCTGAGTAGATGCTATATGCTGCTTAGCAAATGGCCTTTAAGAGTTCAAAAATAACTCAGTAAAGCTACTCAAAGGTAATACAACACTTCTCAGGCATCTTTAATTGGAGTTAAGAAGAAAATAGGGTTTTCTCATTAGTTAATTATTCACTTTCCTATTAATGACTTATACACAACAAAAACACAATTGAAATGTTCAGGAGAACTAATTGTGCTTGTTCCTGTGCATGGAACCATGAACTTATTTTTCAGAAAGGCAAGGTTTTAAATTGTAAAACTAGTCCTATTTTTGTGGACTGTTTTAGCTGCTTTTATTAAACTCTGTGTTGTTCCCATGTGAAACCAGTGAAAACAGTTATTTTCTAACGTTTTTGTGAGGGTTTTTTGCAAAACCTCACTGATCCCCTTTAAAGAAAAGATTATCTTATTTCAAAATTCCTGATATAATCAATTTGCAGTGTTTCTCAAACTGATAAAAATATGTAAAATTTGTGCTTTTAAAAGCTTCTGCTTTGAGTAGCCTTACATTCCATAATTGTGCCCTAGCAATCATCAAGCTCTATTGCATGCCCCATTCATGAAAAGTATATTTTGTTGGGATGACGTAGCTTAAAGAATTTGGCTCTAAAAATTCCTTACCTAGAGCTTCCATTAAATTATATTAATTTAAAATATCTATGGAATGATACTTTTACAAAAATATTAAAACAAAACAAAAAAACCCCAACAAATTAATGGGTTGGGCTTATGAAAATGACTCTTTACAGTAAGTAAAAAAGGTTTATCACAGTTTTGGTAACTTGCATGAGTTCATATCGAAAAGAAATCTTTCACATGTTCTTAATGAATTTAAAACTTTCGTGCTCTAGGCATTTTCAGTTGTATGCTCTGAAACAGTAGACACCATACAGCTTGTGCTTTTTATCGGGGAAGCCTACAAAGCGAACTGCTGCTTCGTTAGGACTGCAGCGTTTCCTTGGCCTGGAGATTGGGTAGCGGACGCTGCCGGCCGCCAGCCAGCCGGCC